AAACCCACCTGCCCTGAGACACAATGGTACGGGTTCTGGTCCACCAGTGGCCAGGACTCAACTCCCCTAGGTTAGAACCCTTCCAAAAGACAGAGGTTTTGTAAATTTGGTTGGCAGAGAGGCACAAGGGGCAGTTGCCTCTCACTGGTCCTTTGCATGTTATCCCCAATATGTCCAGTCACACAACGAGAGAGGCACAGCCCTACCTGTACCCCAAAGGGCTGGTGAGGTGAGCTGTCATCCCTCCCCATCAGCATCACCAAAGGTTTTCCTACCTTTTTGATCTTCCCGCTTCGTGTGCCTGCAAAGACGACAGTTTGTCCTCTGTAGTCATAGGCAGCCACCGAGGTCATCCCATCCTCCTTATCCACAAAGAGTGGGGTCCCCTCAATGGTGACAGTCCCGCCCAGAGGCTGGTTAAAATCCTGGCCACAGAAATTGTCATCGATCTGCAGCGGCTGTCAAAAGAAAAGGAGAGAGATGAGCTTTTTGCCAATGCCTCAACGTGCTGTCCCAGGTGGCCATCAGCCATCTCCCACCTCCACCCCATTTGCTATGGCAGCTTTGGAAGCCCCATTCCTTGCCCCTCCTGTCCCAGTCAAGGGAAGGGGTGAGCTGATGCTTCCCTAAAATTCCCTCCACGCTGACGTAAGGCACTTGGGACGCATCCAAGGCATGCAAGCCCTTCTCTGCATCTGAACAAGCTTCACAGACCAAGACCAAGGCTCTCGGTCCTCTGCATCTTTCAGAGCAGCACTTACAAACCCAGCGGGAGCCAGCGCAGCATCCCTGCTCCCCTCCATCCCTGCTGCCATCTCAGACACGTGGGATGCTGGCACGAGCTCCCCAGCACACACACCCCTCTCTTCCTCACCCCGACGCTAGCTTCAAAAAGACAATGGCTTGGCAGTAAGGCAGGAGGGACTGAATCCTGCGCCCCAGCCTTCCCCCACAGACAAAACACTTCCCAGCCAAGGCTGTGCCAAGATAAACGGGTCAGGGCTCCTGAAAGAGCCTCACTTCACATAGCAGAGACTCCAGCAAACACACTTCCCACCTGCCAGCCCTGTTCCTCCTCCCGCAGGAACGTCTTGGGGAAATCCCCGCATTTTTTCCGTGCCGCCTTGCCCCAGACAAGGCGCCTGGCTCAGCCAGCTGCCTCCTCGGGTCAGCGCTCACCCGCAGGGCGGGGAGCAGCTTTGCAAGCTCTGCCTGGGCAAAGGCACTGGCTGTGATGGCAAGGACCTCCAGTGAGGATGGTCCTGCAATGGGCAAGGCGAAGCCAGAGAGATGCCCCCTGTGAAAGCCACGATTCAAGTAGGGGAGTGGAACCAGGAGCTGGTCCACAGCACTTGTCCCCTCCATCGAGCATCCCTGCCACATTACCCTGACCTGCTGAGCAGAACAGACCCCGGTCAGGGGTATAGAGCCTGGGGAACACACTGGCCTCCTGGAGGTCCCACACTAGGCAGTGGCCTCACACGGTCATATGGCACCAGCAAAATCCACCCCCAGCCCCTGGCAGCGAGGGGCTCTGGAAAAATCCCCAAGGGTGGCAGCAAGCCTGGATGCAGGAGGTTAGGGGAGCAAGACAGGCACGGCTGACAGGGAGACAGCATGCCCTGGCCACGGGATTTTTCTGCTTCATGAGGTTCCTTATGTAACTTTGAATTTAAAGGGGAGAGAGTTTTTTTGGCAAGCAGCAACCTCCAAATGCATGCCAGTCCCCAAGGGGTTTTAAATCCATACAGCATGTGCACGGAGCATATGGGAAAGCGCCGAGCTCCCAAGCTCCACGTACGCAAGGGCAGTACATAGCTCCACTATTCCTGCTCACTCCTGCCTGGGAAGCAAGGGTCAGCCCGGACCAGCTCCCACCAGCAGCTCAAGACACCCATGGGGAGGAGGGAAAACACAGGAGGAGGGAAAACACGGCGCTTTCCATGCCCCAGCATAGTGCACTATGGCTTCAGCCTCCCGCAGCCACGGCAAGGCTGCTCGCCCTCCTCGCTGTGCCACCACACCAGTCCCAAAGCCAGTGGTCCCACTCCCAGCTGCAGTGGGGAACCAGTGTCATGTCAGCCTTCCAGTGTGGGGGGACTGGGAACAATGCCAGACAGTCACGTTCAGCCTCCCCGAGCAGACTGGGAATGCTGAGCCACTTCCTCAGTTCCTCCAACTTCTGCTTTTGCTGTGTGTCTGAGTTAGTACATGACCAAAGACGGACACCCTTCCCCACCTGACCTTTGCTCATCCTTCCCTAAACTGGGGGAACTCCCACAGCCAGGCATGAGAGATGCAGGGATCCCGAAAACAGGAATGTGGGGCACCATGTGCTCCAAAACCACAGGAAAAGGTGGGAAGGGGAATTAGGACCTCTCCACCCATCCTCTGAATCCCAGCCTTGCAAGTGCCCTCTCCCAACCATCGGCCAGCACAGGCACAAAGCACCCTCCTCTGCATCACCAGCCTAGACATTTTAAAACAGCAGATCCGAGAAGATTATCTTCCCAATTATTGAGTGAGATGGGAGCGACACTCCAGCTGATACCCAGCTCCCATCCGGATACCCAGGATCCTTCAGGTGCTTTGCTGGGAAAAAACACTCTCTGGTCCTGACAGCCCTGGTAAAGCATCCCAGCACCTTCCATCCTGCCACCAGCACAGCAGAGGGGTTCAGGGCAATGCCGTGAAGGTATTTACACCCTGGCAGCCCCTGGGTGCAGCTTCTGCTCTCTCCACAATCAATCAGCTGCTTTCCCAAACCCTTGGCTGCTGAATACGCAAGAGGAGAGATGTTTACTGTGTTTACTCCTCTCTGCCTTGTCTCAACAAACTCTCTGGGAAACGACAAATACAGCTGCGCTCCGGGACCACAAGGAGCACCCGCCGCTGCCGCCGCGATGCCGACACCACCTCGATAAATAATTACGCTGACAATTAGCTCATTAACAGCAAACCACCTGGTTCGGGAAGCGCAGGCAGGCAGCACAGTGAGGTTGGGCCGAGGGCGGCAGTACCAGGGTTATGGCACCGACCGATGTCCCCAGAGGATGCGGGAGAGGCAAGGTGGAGGGACCGACACGCACCACGGCACGCGAGGGCCAGTGACCTTGCAGCGTTTCAGCTCGCAGATGCTGGGATCTGCAGGAGGCAGCGAGCTCTCCCTGCTCCCCCATTTGCACGGGTGTTTGCAGAGCCTCAGCCCACTGCAAAGGGGGTGCTGTTTGTTTTGGAGGTTTGGGGGTGTTTATTTTTTCTTTTGTTTGTTTGTTTTTTATTTCAGTGCTTTCCTTTGGCACCTCTCTGGCTGCCCCTGGACCCCAGACACCCCAGGCTCCCGCTGCAGCAGCCTTCTATCTCCCAGCACTAACCTGCCTCCCCCAAATTGGGTCAGGAAACTCAGATTTCCCAAGGAAAGCGGCCTGCAGGAGCAGGGAAAGTAGGCTCGCAGCATCAAGCAAGCGGGAAGCGAGCATCTCCTTGACATGCCTTGTCTCATTGCCTCCCTTCAAGCCCACTTACGAAAGCAATGAGGGAGCAGACAGCAGAGGCAAGGCTCGCACCGCTCAGCATTATTAATTAGCCAGTAATTCGCCAGTTAACACCATTTCAGGCTCACCCACTCCCCTGTGCCCTGCCAGGGGCTGCGATGGAGGATGCAGGGGACACGATGGAGGATGCAGGAGGCAGGTACCAAGTGCCAGGCTGGGATGCCAGACTTTCTGCACATTAATCGCTGCCCACGAATAATCTCAGTGTGGTTCGGTTCATTAACACCTGCATTTTTCTGGCTGCCCCCAGGAAGGATTTGACTTATCCTGGCCCAGTTTGTCACCAGCCACTGCCCTGTGCCAGCAGGCTGGGCAGTAAGCCCCACCAAGGACTCAAAACTCATTCTCTCCCTGGGGCAGCCCTGGGAAGGCTGCTGCCCACCTCCTGCCCAGGGGTCAAGGAACCCCAAATCACTCCCTGCTGCAACATCTCCACTCCAGCTCCAACCCATCGCCCTTTCCCAGCCCAGCTACATCAGAGTCTGGTCCCCCTGTCCTGGGGACAGGCACGCTGGGCAGATGCCCTGAGCACGTCTAGCCACTGACACACAGATCTCAGCCCCTGCATTTCACAAAAAGCCAGGCTACACAACCCTGAACCCCCCTTCAGTGAAACACTGTGAGCAGCAAAACCTCTGGCCGGGCTCAGGAGCGATTTAGGCAGCGGGGCTGGGGCAGAGGAATGGACCAGACTGTCCCACAAGGTGCCTCTGCTGCACGTGCAAGTCTGTGCTCAGGTCTGACTGCACCAGGGTGAAGGGTCTCGCTCCCAAGTCACCTCCCCTTCTCTTCCCACTGCCAGATCACTGGATCCCAGGAGAGAGAGAAAGAGAAGACAGGAATTCACTCTGCTTGCCAGCACCAGGGACAAACCACTAAGATCTCCCAAGCTGGCTGCCAAGCCTGGCAGCCTCTCCTCCTGGCTCCAGCACCAGTTCCAGAGCATCAGAGCGGCCCTGCAGCACCCAGGGATGAGCATCCCTCAGCCCTGCACTGCTCGAGCTCTGGGATCAGGGCACAGGCAAAGCCTCCTCCAGCATGGACCAGCCTCAGCCCCTTGCTGCCGCAAAGGAAAGAAGCAAGAGAGCTACTGGAACATTCTCCATATGGATGGAGTGTAAATCCCAAGCAACTACTGACTCGAGCAATGACATTCTGCCTCCTTAAAAATAAAAAAAACCAGCATGCTCTTTTATCTTCTGGCCAGCCCTCACCACCAAGAGATCTGTCACTGCCACCACCCACCCCAGAGGTGGCTGCATTTTATTAGGGGCACAGAAATTCCTGCCAGAAAGAGGTCACATGCTCCACGGGGTCTGGTTTGGCTTGCGCTTAGCACAGCAAGGGGCTGAGGGCCTGACTCACGATCCAGCCATGCCTTTCCCAGCTCTGCTTGGCAGCCAGAGCAGGACGGGGACAGAAAACACCACCTGGTTCCCCTGAGGGAGAGCAGCACCCCCCAACACAACCCATTCGAAAGCAGGAAGCACCTCCCATCGTTGCACGCATCCTTCCACCTGGCAAGTCCGCAGGATCCAAAAAGAACCTTGAGATCCACCTACTTGCTCGGGCTGGCCACCAGGTAGCAATCCCAGGACCCTCCTAGCATGAAACCACCTCCAAAATACAGGTGAGCAGAGCCCCCTCCCCACAATGCTGCCGTGGGGTGCTGGGGGAGGCAAGCTGGGAGCGCGGGAGGCGGTGGCGAGCATCTCCTCTGCCGGAGCCAGCATCTGCACGACCCAACAGGCAGCAGTGTAACGATTTCATCATTTTCCAGCAAAATTGAATTAGTTCAAAGCCAAAATCTGATTTGTGAGCCCAGCGCTCTTGACAGCAAACCCTTTACTTTGTCAGGCAGCTGTTAGCTGTCTCCTCCAGAGCTGCAGGGAGGACGGCGGCAGGGAAAGCAGGGCTGCTCCACAGGGATCCCTGCCCACCCACCTGCACCACCAGCCACCCAAACCCCTCCTTGGGCAGGGCTGGGGGCTCAGTGATGGGTGCCAAGCACCAGCAAGTGGGGCTGGGGGGAAGTGGGTGACAGCAGGGGTGTCAGGACCTCCACCAGACCCTCCCAAACACACACACCACACTCCAAAACCCCTCTCTGCCAGGTATCTGACCCTGCCTGGGGACTACCAGCCCAGCTTAGTGATGCCCAGCATAAGACCACCTCAGAGTTGTAGCGTCCCTGCAACCACTTGTGGTTTAGAACACTGCCTGGAAAAAAATCCAGAAATACTAACAGCTGGAAAACAAAGCCAGAGAGCCAAGCACAAAGGTCCCCCATTCCCCACCACTCACAGGCCCCAGAGAGAGCAGCTGAGCCACAAATGGGGGCCAGACAAGCCCACGTGGGCACCAGGTAGGAGGACACATCATGTTCCTTGGTTGGGAATCACTGTTCTGGGATGTCAGCACTTGCCTCCAACACCTCTGGGTGACAGTTTGCATTAGTCACACTCAAAACCCACCTCATTCATGGCACCTTGTGCCTTCTGTCCTCCTCTCCAGCACCCCACGGAGAGGATGTGGTCTCTTCATGCTGAACATGACCAACTCCTACTGGGACCACCAACCTCTGTGCCTCTCTCTAACAGGTCTGCACTCCCAGCCCCCGCATCCTACTGCCCCCACCACCTTCTGCTCAGCCACCCCAAGCCCCAGGCGAAACGACACTCACAATTTCACACATGCCATCTTGTGAGGGACTCCCCAGCAGAGCTGCAGCAGATGCCCTGAGGACGGAGCATCCTGCCCTCCCAGCCCAGCTCACCAACACCCCCCAAATCCACAGGATAGGGGAACCAGAAGCAGGCACCCATACCAGCATGGGGCCCATTGCCTGGGGCTCTCCACAGGCACCAGTGCAACCCAAAGCCAGATGGCCACCCTAAAATGAAGCCATGATCTCCACAAGGAATGCCACTGAGCAAGCTGAGCACCCAGCCCTAACAGCACCAGTCCTCCCACTGGGAAAACACAGCTCAGGTCAGGTCACTGGGAAGGGTCCGGGCAATGAGCACTGCCAGGAGCCAGGAACAGCCTGGCGTGGGTAGAGACAAGTGGGAACTTACCGAGTTGATGCAGCCCAGCTCCTTATTCAAGAGCCAGGGCAGCGAGAGCTTCCCTTCCCCTCTGTAGCACGACTGGATACGCTCCTTGATCTTATCCTTGATCTTCTTCAACGTGAAGAGGCAGAGCACAGACTCCTTGGGAGGCTTAACCCTGTTTTTCTGGCCCTGGGAGAAGATGGTGAAGAGGATATCCTCGCGCTCCGAGATGCCCAGGTACTTGGCCAAAGCCTTACCAGGCTTGGTCAGGTAGGCGTCCTGGATCAGGCGGTACTCTATGCCATCCTGCACGCAGCCAATGGGGAACTCCACGTAGGAGTAGAACTTGGGGTCATCCACGCAGAGGCGGACGATCTTGGAGGTGAAAAACTGCTCCCCAGTGGAGTCGGGCGAGGTGAGCTGTGTGTCCAGCTGCAGGGTCAGGTAGTAAACAAACTGCTCGCTGCTGAAGCTGTAGATGTAGTAGATGTCAAAGGTGGGGAACTTGGAGAGTGTATCCGAGGGGATCTTGAGCTGGGAGGAAACAAACTCGTCCTGGTAGACAAAGCCAAACATCTCTGCATTCTCCTCGTTGGCCATCAGCTTGCGGCTGGGAAGGGTGGGGGAGAACTCTGCCTTCCCATCAATGGGCGTCCCAATGAAGAGCTTGTTCTGCCCGTTCAGCACCTCGATGATGACCCCAGACATGGTGCCTGACTCGTTGACACTGGAGAGGTAGTGCTCCTTGCGGTGGTGGGGCTCACCCAATTTGAAGAGATCATCCAGCCGCAGGAACTGGCAAATACCCTGGGAGGCACTGCCGCAGGCGATCAGCCGGTTCCCCGAGTAGTCCACCAGCAGCAGTTTGTTCACATTGTTGGTGGTGACCAGCCCATGCGGGCAGGACTGAACGCTGGGTGGAGGGTAACACTTCTCATTGTCCTCCACAGGCCCCGTTACATGGGTCCGCAGGAGCGTGAGGTTATTGGAGAGCTTGTAGATCCGATTGACAGCCCCCACGTAGACCTCCCCGGTTTTGTTGTGGACCACCAAGTGTGTCAAGCTCCAGTCTGTAACCGGGAAAGTCCTAAAGGGAGACTTGGGGCTGCCTTCCGCCAGCGGTAGCCAGGTGCTCCCCAAGAGCAGCAAGGTCCACACATTGACGGACAAGTGATGCTTGAGCCAAAGGAGCCGCATTGCAGCAGCCTCGCATCCGGCCAAGGCCATGCCCAAACCCAGCCACAAAATAAATAGAAACAAACCCAAACTAAAGGGACGAGGGAGGAGGAGCTAACGGCACACAGTCTCCTCTGCTTCTGCTACGCTTGGCATTCAGGGCATCGTGGGTACGGCCAGTCCGGTCAGCCCTAGAGGGAGAAAGACAAGAAGCGTGGGGTTAGAAAGTTTTCCTGCACAGTGTCAAGCCTGTTCCACCCTGCCCAGCAGAGACTCTGCTGCTTCATCCTTTTCCAACAGGCAGCCTAACAAAACGCCCCCCACCACCTCCTGCCCCAGAAGAAGACACTTCCCCAGTGCAGGGACCTGCGAGATGCTAAGGACAACCTCACCTAGTCACACACTGCTGCGCACAGCGTGTCCCAAACCAAGGAGCTGCCATGCACTTTGTCTCACCATCCCAGCCTCAATCACTAGCCAGTGGCCCCCTCGGAGGGGCACCACCATGCCCTTGTCCCCACCCCGATCCCCTCGGGCAGAGCAGCATCACCTGAGTGCGCCTGCAGCTGCTGGCTGGACCAGAGCAGCAGATCCTGAGCCACCAGCAGCTTTGTGATGCTCTCCAGCACACCTACCACATACAAACACCTCAGCAGGGCGTAGCTGTCCCCAACCTGCTTTTAAGACCACCAGCAGCACCAAAGCATTAGCCAGGGACGGTTGCTAACAAGCTGCAAGAAAAGTCCCCTGGCCTGCTGTCCCTGCCCCGCTCCACCACGGCACTGGATGCAAAATCCTAGTTTGCAGGAAGCACACCCCAAGTCCCCACATAGAGGAGGACCTTTTAAAAGAGCCGGGAGAGCCAAGAGCCCTGGCAGGCTGCCTGCATCCCTGCCACCTGCCTGACAAAGCCCAGGAGGGCCGTGGGCAGGAGGAGTCGGGGGAGTGAGCAAGGAGAAGCACGTCCTTCTGGCATTTATATGCATTAAGAAACGCAGAGCCAGTCATCAGGCTTGAGAGGCTCCAGAGGGACGAGGGGGCACACGCAGGGAGGCTGCAGAGCTCTGCTGTGCCACGGCTGGGGCTCGCCAATACGAGCAGGAAGGCAGCAGGGAGCCAGCCAAAAACCCACACCAGGGTGACCTTCACATCCCCGGCAGCAGGGAGGAGATGGCCACTGGTAGCTGATGCAGCCCCTCAGTTGCACCCCCCCTCTCCATCCCCCCCCACAGGCACAAGCAGCCCTGGCTAAAGTGGGGGCTGTGCAAACCATCCTGCCAGCACGCAGCCAGTCCCACCAACACTATCACAACCCATCCACCCAGAGCGGGACCATTGCTCCCAAGGTCTGTGGCTGGGAGAAGAGCTCAGCCCTGCGTTCTCCACCCCAGTCATGGCAGATAAGCAGCTCCCAGTCAGCGGAGGAGGAGGAGAGCCTCCCTCTCCTTATCGCCCATCTCTGACTCAGCCCAGGATAACCTGCGGGAGGATCCCCACCAGGGAGTGGCAGGGGGGG